TAAATTCGTTTGTTTGACTTTTTTCTAATTTTTTAAATAAAACAAAAATCTGCTTAAGAATCTTTGAGTTCATTTCCCCGAATTTACATGTAGGCCGATATTTCATTGACTGAAAAAAAATGCATTTTTATTTAAATTTTTACATTATCTTCATTTCATTTCTTGTTGAGTTTGGGGGGGGGGGGGGGGGGGGGGGGGGGGGGGGGGGGGGGGGGGGGGGGGGGGGGGGGGGGGGGGGGGGGGGGGGGGGGGGGGGGGGGGGGGGGGGGGGGGGGGGGGGGGGGGGGGGGGGGGGGGGGGGGGTGGTGACTTTGTCAGATTAAGCTAATAATCAGGTTGCAGTTTATCCGACAGAAATCAATGAAAATTTAACTTCCAAAACCTGCGCATTTTCAATATCAAACATGTTTTTGATTTTAAGGCATATTATGAAAAATGTTTGTCAGTGTTGTATATATAACAGACCCAAAACGGGATGGTTAAATAATATAACTTTATTGGGCATTCATAAAAGATACCGCTCAACCAATCACAGGACCAAAAACAAGCAAATTCGTTAATTTTATATTCCCCGCCAAGTACTGGTTATTAATAACACAAACAACTGAAGACATAGAACTTTATTTATATATTTTCATTGGCATAAACAGTTATAAGTATTTCTTTGAACTTGATAAATTAATTCCAGGGCAATAACAGAGCCATAATTCCGTGTTAAACAGTAATATCGGAAATGCCAAAATGAGATGTATGCATACTGCATGGCTAATCAAGGGCCATTAAAATCTGAGTTATAAGTGTCCTGACCGCGAAACAAGCTAGTGCTACATATATGGGTATCCCATAAAGTTTCATTGAATTCCAGCCACTTGTTACAGAGAAGTAGCACGGAAAAATTATTGCTCGGAGTTGTATACTGCAATAAGTTATCAAGGGCAAATAAATCTAAGTTAAAGTGTCTGAAACCGGAACAAGGGGACGATATGCCCATCTTCCTCTTGGTATTTGAAGGTTCCCGTAAGTTTTGTTGAATTCCAGCCAGTAGTTGCAGAGAAGTAGCGTGGAAATGATTTTTACTCTATATCTTATATGCATACTGCATAACTAATCAAGGGCCATAACTCTGATTAAAGTGTCGGACGGGAACAAGCCGACGATATGCTCATCCGTCTTGATATTTTAAGGTTCCCATTAAAGTTTTGGTTGAATTCCAGCCAGAAGTTGCAGAGAACAAGTCCGGAAACTGAAATTCGGACGGACGGATGGGGATGGACAGACGGACGTTTCTCACAGGACAGTAATTATGTGGATTCTCTATTGTTCTCTCTTATTGTTCTTTTTTAGCCACACAAAAGAAAATAGCCACATAAAAGTATTACGGAATGAATGACATCCAAAGAGAAAAGAACAGTTACCTTATTGTCCTCTAGCCACATAATTACTCTCCTGTGAGTGCGGTAGGACGGACGGACGAAAGAACGGACGGACGGAAAACGCCAAAACTATACCCCCCCTCCCAATTCCATGGCGGGGGATAACAATAACTGCAATATAAAAACATATATACGTTGGCAGAGGCTAGCCAGAGGCGGGCTTATCAGTACACAGAGAGACGTTTTTTCTAACTACTTTTTGGGGCATATTTAGCATTTTACCGCACAAACGTCTAATATTTCATTATACAAAACATTTCATTCATACAAATAATTTAATAGCAAAAAAATTACGCTTTTAAAACATTATATCAAAGATAAATCTCGTTTTTGTAGATCCGGTCTTATTTTCACTTTACACGGCGATTTAAGCTATTTTCGTAAGTATGTATTTTCGGCTCAAACGTCACTTTTTAAGATTCTTTTCTGGTTCTGAATTTTTAATTTGCAGTATAATCTTTCAAAGAATGCACAAATATATAATTAACAAAATTATTTTAACTGATACATACACTATATAAAAAAATCTTATTGAGCTATAAATCATCAAATTGGTATAAATGCACCATTAAAAGTCTTTTGTCTCCTTCACAGCATGTATTAATATTTTCGATAACATGTTAATTATCTTATGTCTTCTCTATTGTTAAATCACTGATCCTTCACAAAAGGCTTCTTAACCATGAAATAAACAACACAATAAATTTTGTTTTCAACAATATAATCATCCTCAATAAGCTCTTGCAGTTTAAAACGGTAGCCATGAGAAAACTTTGAGTTTTCCGGAAATTCCTTTTCCTTGAATGTTTTACATTTATGCTGAAAATTCTCTTCCCCCATATACCTTAACTGGTATTTTGCATCAATAATACATGCCAAGCTTGCTTCTGTTTCAGGAAAAGTGCTCGACAATAAAACTGAAAGATAATCAACATTATCTCTTTTAAAAACCTTGACAACAACATCAAATGTTATATCCCATACAGACACAGGTTTGCTTCTTTTAAAGTCCTCTTTTGTAAGGTCTAGGCATGGTGAAAACGCTATCATAGCCCCTTTGCTACTCGAAAGGTCATGTGCTGATGCAGTTTCCTGTGTTAGATCCTTTTGCATATAAATTTTCACCAATTCTGTTCGGGCTGAATCCAACAATTCTCCTTGTTTCTTTAAGATATCTTTATGGAGTTCGAGCAGTGTTCTAGTGTCCTCTAGTCCTGTGGGTTGTATTTCTTTCAGTCCAATATCAGATAGACGGGATGCACAAACATCTCGAAGGCCCTGAAAATTATGTTTGGTAGCCAAACCGTGGCAATGCACAACTTCTTTTATAGAAGCCCGTTCGTTCGTTAAACGGAAACCGAGATATCTTTGGCATTTTTTCACCAGTGATTTGACATTGTATTCATCTGCCAATGGTAAGATCTTGTATACATTGTCAGCGCCTATCTTCTTTTGTGTGTTAGGATACATGCAATGAAGAAACTCGTTGAAGTCTTCAGATTTCTTACCTACAAAATAAAAATACGAGTACATTAACAAGGACTGCTTAATGTACGGAATACCATTATGGCCATCGTGGTTATACTTTAAAATCTAGAGGATGACAATGCGACAGTGCCATGATAACAATATGATAGTACGATGGCTTTAATGCGATAACGACAGTACAATAATGCGATGATGACAATGCGATAATGGCAGTGGCAGGCTGTCAACCAGGTCTTATCCAAAATATAGGAAGAATATAGGTATATTTTAGCAGGAAATATAGAAGTTTTTGGACCATTTTGAGGCAAAAAAATAGGAGTTTTCAACTTAAATTGTTTAACTTACCAATGCTTATAAAAATGTAAATTATTCTTACTTTTACACATGCTGTTTCTACAATAAAATGCCTACCCTATAAGTGAAGGAAACCATTAGCAGGCTGTCCAGCACCTTCCGACATAAAATTAGGGCGAATTTTACGGTAATATTTCAGAAATTTTAGGGCTAAAATTAGGAATTTTAGGGTACATAAAAGAAATTTTAGGGCTAAAATTTGCAATTTTATGACTAAATAAACTAAGGTCCCAAAAGACCATGATGTGGGCTAACCTTTGCATATTTGACACAAAAGTAACTCACAAATAATGCTCTAGTTGAGTAATAGAGCAAAGGTGCTACCAGTGTGGACTCACTGGTCAACTGCCACCCCTGCGGAAATGGTCACAGTCAAATCATGTTCAAACCATATTTTTTAAAATGGCTGAACATGTCAAAAAGAACATGTTCTTCCTATGTTTTGAGAATTTTATAACCACAAGGGTCTAAAAGGAATTCTTACACAGTGAAATTCTTGCACAATACAGCTTTTGAGTCATATCTATGGACAAATGAAATTTTTTGTAAAGGTAGGTAAAAAGTAAAAAGGCATTTGCCTTATTACAGTCATTTGAATAAATTTATCAACACAAAGAATTGCACATAAAAAAAGTTCATCACACAGACCATTCAATTGCAGTTTATCTAGATCACATAATTACAAAATGTGTGTACATTGTAATTGGAAATGAGCTTTATATTACTGAACTGCCAAATTATTTTGAGTGTGATTAATTATATGAGTCTTCCTTTCCTAAAATGCACCATATGAATGAAAGAACAAGAACTGAATGAAATTGATAACTTTGTGGCAAAATAAGCAATTTCTCCTACAAAGATACGAAAAGAATAAATAAGTATGAGGGAAAGAATTAATTTTTCAAAGTCTATGTTAACCCATTCAGTACTTTACAATGTTTTTTTTTTTTTTGATATCATTCAGATTTAAATAAAAGAGTTGTGAGTAAACATTAATTGTTCATTAATTTTTGACAACTATTTAAACATGTTTTTAATATAGATTTTGTAACAACAGCTTCATAATGATCATTTTCAAATATGATATGATACAAATGGACCACTTCAGAAATTTGGATAAAATGAACAAACATAAAATTCAAGATATCTGGAGTTGGCAAAACAGTGTCAAAATATTCCAGAATAAGTGGACTCTTATGGTTATGATTTAAGTTTCAGGACAATGATATGGTAGTGTTTTTGCTGTTAACTGTCAACATGATTATCAACAAATGCTTTGATTATGAAATAGCAATGTTACTGACATAGTCAAAGTAACTTTTAGTTGAAACGAAACCATTTCAATGTCATCAATTTCGAGTTGGCAAAGCATGGCCAAATCATTTTTGACAATGTTCAAACCATGGTTGACTTTGAGTTATGTTTACAGGGTTACACGTTATAAGTATGTTTAGTACAAAAGTAAAAATAATTAGGAATTTCAGTAAAAAATATGGCATTTTTAGAAATTCCCTTCGAATTTTTCACTTTTTTAGGAATTTAAGGGATGCTGGACAGCCTGCATTAGCTTTGAACCACAGCATCAGCAGAAAGTTACAGCAATGCATGACCATCATCTGAATGGTCACCTGAAATAAAGTTGACAAACTGATGCACTGCTTTTCATGGTGACAATGCAGATGGCTATATGGAGCTCAGCAGCCTTGAGCATATAAGTAATGTGATGCTGATGCAGGCATACACATTCTCTTACCTGTCAAATACAAAAGTCCAAAAGCAGTACCAAAATTTAAATCTTTTTGAATTCCTCGGCAATATATTTTTTAAAAAATTTAGGAAAAATATTCAAAATATAGGAGAATATAGGAAAAATAGGAGGTTTTTTAAAATATAGGATTCCGACCCAAAATATAGGAGTTTTATAAGAATATAGGAATTGGTTGACAGCCTGCAGTGGGGAAACACGATGACGACAGTACGATTGTGTGATGGCCCCAGGGCCATCATGGCCCTGAGTCGCTCACCAGAAACAACTGCTTTTCAGTAAAAGATAAAAGACTACCTCAGAATGCTACAGACAAAGTTTGGTGATCATCCATCAATTAGTTCTGTTCTGTAGAACCAGATGTTTAAAGGCTTTTCTATTTCTAGCTTTAGCTAAAAGTGGATAATCAAATTAATATGAGCAAACTGGATAAAAGACTACCTAAGAATGCTACAGACAAAGTTTGGTGATCATCCATCCATTATTTCAGTAGGAGATGATGTCCAAAGGTTTTTTCTTTTTTTTTCCATCCGGGCCAATTTTGACCCTAGGGCTTTTATTTGAACAAACTTGATAGACACCAATTAGAAGGTTTTTCATGCTTAATATCTAAGCTCTAGCTTTTTGGGTTTTTTTAAAAGAATATTTAAGTTACTTTAAGTTTTTACTACATTGTATATACAGATCAGGAAAATCAATGACCCCCAACCAATTTTAACTTCAGGGCTTTTGTTTGAACAAACTCGGTAGACACTCACTAGAAGATGTTTCATGCCAACTATCTAAGCTCTAGCTCTTTGAGTTCTTGTTTTTTCTTTTGGTTTCTTTTCAATAGAACTCTAAAAATGTCTGAACAGATTGTAAATATGATGTTTAGTGAGAATGATTGTACTATTAATGCTGTAGCAAAATTTGGCCATAAATGTTTTTCATATAGAATCGAATTTCTTAAAAACGTAACATCTGGTTGAACCTATTTATAGTGGATCATTTGGCTTCTAGTAAACAGTATACTTTTATTTACTTTTGTCATTTAATATGCCTTAGTTTCTTATTGTTACAAAGTCTTTTGTTAATTGTGTTTGCTAGTCATAATAAAGCTTTAGTTATGTTATGTTTTTTAGTTCTGTACGTCTTGTACAATATCATTAAATTATTATGTGATTGTATGCATGCCTGTAAAGGCCAGTGATTGGAAATTATTTAATAAAATTTATTCTATTTTATTATTTGGACCAACTTTCTGAAAAAGGCTGACAATGCGGAATCACCTTAAACAATGTTTAGGCAAAACTTCAAAAGATATAAATCGCTGTGATTTGATGAATAATAGAGATGCCCTTCTGCTAAAAAATAGACTGTACATAATGGACGAAAATGCTAAGGACCGGATGACTGCTAGAGGCTAGGAAACCATGGTAGATCTAGATTCTATATGATTTTTAATTTTAATGTAAAATTTTATTTACCTGGTAAAGGTATTTCTTTTTCTTCACTTTCTTTGAAGTTTGTTCCAAACATTGCTTCAAACACAGGCGAGGCTATGGCTAATATGGCCTTAGTGGCATAAAAACGCTGGTCTTCCACGAGGAAAGTAACGTCATCACGCCATGTCTTCATCGTGAAGTCATAGCTCTTCATTTCATCATCTTCTTCGCCACTTTCAATCTGGTTAATCATGTCTACAACAGGTACGAAATTTCAACATAGAAATTAATGAACTTCGTACATAGCGTAATGGTTCTATTTATAGAAAAATGGAAACTCCGCTAAATTTTCCAATCTTTTAAATGGGTCTGTCTAAAAGTACACGGTTGAGCAAAGCGTACTTCGTACACGGTTGAGAGAGAACCGCCTTTCTAATAGTGGGCGTGGTTTAACCTTTGTAACTTACAATTTAGTAAGTCTGCTGGGCACCAGACTGTTATCGTTATGTTGGCATAACTTGTCATAAATGAGGATATTGAGTAACTTCAGTACTTTATTTATTGAACGATTGGACTGGAATTATATTGTGCGAGCCTCTGGCAAGGATCCAGTAATATTAATTTATTCAATGAATTTAATAAATTTGTGTAATGAATATACACGAATATAATTAAAATAGTCTCCTTATCTTATACCCAAAAATGAAGTGATAATTAAAGTATTTTTCATTGACGCCCCTATAGTGTAACTTGTTTACAATGATTAAGTCACTTCAATTTTTTGTCCTAATGGGATAGAGAAGAAAACAATAAAACACATAATGAGTGAAAGAAGTGTCATATAAGGGTTGAGAGTGAAGTCATAATTTGTCCTGAGAGAAAGGCACTATAAAACACACAATGAGTGAGAGAAGTGTCATATATTATCTTAAAGGTTGAAAGAGAAATTATTATTTTTTCTTATGGGTGAAAGAAGGGCAATATAAAACATATAATGAGTGAGAGAAGTGTCGTATTAGGACTGAAACAAAACTCATTATTTGTCCTAATGGGTGCGAGAAGGGCACTATAAAACACATGATAAGTGAGAGAAGTGCCATATATGATCATGAGGGTTGAGAGAGAAGTCCTTATTTGTCCTAACGGGTGAGAGAAGGGCACTATAAAACACATAATGAGTGAGAGAAGTGTCATATAATCTCATAAAGGTTGAGAGAAAATTCATTATTTGTCCTTATGGGTGAGGGAAGGGCACTGTATATATCATAATGAGTGAGGGAAGTGTCATATAAGGGCTGAAACAGAATTCATTATTTCTCCTAATGAGTGAGAGATTGGCACTTTAAAACACACAATGAGTGAGAGAAGTGTCATATATCATTATAAGGGCTTACTGAGAAGTCATTATTTGTCGTAATGGGTAATGAGAAGGGCACTCTAAATCACATAATTATTGAGAGAAGTATCATATTTTATCCTATAGATTGAGAGATAAGACATAATTTGTCCTAATCGGTGAGAGAAGGCCGTTATAAATCCCATAATGATTGAGAGAAGTATCATATATGATCCTGAATGTTGAGAGAGTCATTATTTGCCCTAGCTAATGGTGGAGGGAATGGCACAATAAAACACATAATGAGTACGAGAAGTGTCATATAACGGTTGAGAGAATAAGTCATTTGTCCTAATGGGTGAGAAAAGGGCAACTCTAAATCACATAATGAGTGCGAGAAGTGTCAAATACTATCATAAGGGCTGAAAGAAAAATCATTATTTGTCCTAATGGGTGAGAGAATGGCACTATAAATCACATAATGAGTGATAACATATGAACATCACTAAACAATTGTAGGCAAATGCGGCAATTACTGTTTGGTTCGGTGGCGACTGTTATAGTCTGCACTGTATTGGGTGGTACCGTAACGTACGCTTATCAGGGTAAATTCACGGATACGGCTATGTTTGTATCTCGTGCAATTTTGTGATTTTTTTTTGTTTGTTCAGTCGTTTCGTACATTGAATGAAAGGGATTTGAGAGAAAGTTTTACTTTTTTTGACATGTTATTTTTCTACCATATGACATATCTAAACTCTTGGTCAACACATCTTAGCTTTAACATTGTGGAATGGTCAAATACGTCACATCTATCTTTTTAATAATTATTATTTGTTGCACTATAATCATCACATGTGTATTATGATATCTAGCAAAAATCTGTAATGATAAACATGAAGTACACATGGTATTTTTCAGCAATTCAGAAATTTATTGTGTTAAAGATATTTTTATTATTATTATTTTCATCTTTGAGAATAAAAATTATTTCAGAAATTTCTTGAATTATACAAAAATTCTGACTTAATAATGTCTAATTTTAAAAACGATATGCAAAAAACTGAGAATGTGAAGCTTCATTCAATGGTCAAGTAAATTAAGTAATTTCTTTAAAAGAAAAAAAGACGTATTCATACTGTAATTATAGTTATTTATTAACATCATTAGTCTTTGTCAATGTGCATCTCAAAAGATATTGTGGGTTAGTTATTTGTTGAGGTTTTTTACAAATTCTATTTCTTTTATGTGTTGTCATTTAAAATGCGTTTGTTGAATGCATATAGTTACTAGTCCTTTTTTAATTGTGCTATCAAATCAGAATTAGCTTATGTTATCTTATAATTGTTTTGTTTATGTACATTTACATTTAATGTACTGATATTTTATGTAATTGTATGCCTGAGAAGGCCCATGATTGGTAATAAAACATTATTCTATTCTATTCTATTCTGTGCTCACCTGGTGTTCAAAAGGTGATACAACTACTTATATGTGTTTACACAAATCATGTTTATTTTACCTTTGATAACAGACTATGTAGTGATAATTATCAATATATTTCAAAGATGACCATAATTTACATCTTCGAAAGGTAATCAAATTTAAAATGTTTTGTTTTTTGATTGGATACATGTCTGCATTATTTCTGGCCTTATGGAAGTTTCTCTATTTTTTAAAGAATTATTTCTAAAAGAAATGTCATCTTTTTCTTTCATAAAACCTGAAGAAAAGAAAGAATCTAGAATAAAATGCATTGAAGATGTTTTAGCTCATTTAGAAAAGAATATCTATAAGCATTGCCTAGGAACACGGACTGACAGTCAGTCTGTAATTAAAATACTATAGTTACACATAGTTTGTCCACGGAACTAAATATATATAGATATATCTGTGGTTTGACCAAACAATATAATTTCCCGATAACTATTGTGACATTTTTTAAAGTCATTATAATCAGTATTGAAGTGAAATTGATTATATTTGGTCTGGTTCCCTTCCCTCCGTCAGCGAAGACTAAATGCTAGCATACAGAGCATCATAATAAATTTGGCGACAAAAGAAGGCAGAGCCGTACTGCAACAGAGGCGGAGCAAATGAAGTGATTGACACTCTCTCAACCGTTATCTCTCTCAACCGTTAACTTTTAGAACGATCGATTAATAATCGCGCAAATAATTATTTATTTATTTAAAGAAAAAGCGGTTAATCTATGCGATTTCGATTTTATCAAAAAAAAATACTAAAGAATATATTGTTAACAAGCTGTTTTATCTAAAATAGACCTACTTTTTCCCCATGAAAACTTATTTTTAGAAATTACAAATATAGTAAAAATACTACACGACGGTCTCCTCAAAATAGACGGTCTCTGACGGTCTCCAAAGGCGACCGTCTTACACAAATCGGCGATTTCGTGATGAATTGAAAAAGATTAATTTAGAAATAATAATAATAACAGGTCAATTAACATTTTTTACGACGATACTTAATTTATGTCAATATTTAAAGGTATTAATGAATAGATAAAAAATGAAAAAAATGAAATACTGTCATATATGCAGAAAATTAGAGAAACAAGTTAACATTGGAATCTATTGAAATATAAAAATGCTCTTCAATTAATTGATAAATAATAAAGTCTATAATTTTATTGTTACATAAACGTCAACGATATTACTGTTTAGTAGTAGTGGAAGAAGTAGTAGCTAGTGGTAGCGGCAGCAGCAGCAGCAGAATTAGTATCTCGACTTTTTAACTTGATATACATTTGTGAGTGTGCGCACAATTGTAAATATTCAACAAGAAAAACAGCATACATTAAAAGGTAACTTACACTATTTAAGATTAGAAAGAATCATAAAATCATCTGCCTTTCTGTCTGACTTGATTGTTGGCAGAGTAGTCCATTAAACATCATATGTATTGTGATTATAAAGCTGCTAACTGTGTAAACGTTTTTTGGTATTTTGTTTCAGTTATTTTCTTCCTAAACTGAATGGATAAATTTTTTTTTACAAATGTTACGTTACAGTAAGAATTATGGCTTACCAAAACATAGGCTCTTGTTAGAAAATCATACGTCATTGGAGCTTTTCATAGAGCAATGTCTTGATGTTAGATTACATACTTTAATGTTCCATAAATAATAATGCATGGATTTACAGACCTTGAATATGTAGGAAAATAATTCAGGTGTTCTTTTAAGACAGCAGTATGATGGAAATGCACAAATGGAGTGATCCTGAAACCAGATTGCTACTTGATACCATTGCTGAGCATATTGAAAAGTTGAAAGCACAAAGGAACAAATCAAAGGTTTGAAAACTGTTGCAGACGTTCTCTTAAAAAGTGGATTAATCGTCACTACTACACATGCAGTGTATTGATAGACATATATAATTAAATATCTGAAAAGTTTCTAGTTGTTTCTAGTTATGACAGGCATGCAACTGTGTTTCATTTCTGCAAATTTGTTAAGAGGTTACATTTGCGTACATCTTTATGTCAATGTAAACCGTTTTGTTATGCTTTCCATATATTTGGATAGATTTCACATGCAATATTATTATTCTATTTATTATTCATTCCAAGCAGGGTACTGTGCTCATCTTAAGCTAACTAATATATGTTTTGTCATTCTTTCATACATTTTCAGGATTTTTATTCAGCCAGTACATGATAAATTAATATGTCTTTACTTCAATTCATTATTTGCTCTAACTTATTTAATATTCCACCCAAGCAGGGTAAAATTAATTATTTTATGTGATACAATTTATCTTCCCCTTTGCCCCTTGTTTTTATTTATTTTATTTATCCCCCCTTCCCCTGGGTCTCATGTCCCCTTCCCTTGTGCCTTTTGATGGTCCTAATATTCAATCATTTAAATTATTTGTTTTCTTTTAGTTCCTTATCAGTTACAAATTATTTATTCTTATGTAGTGGTTTGCCTGCCCGTGCTCTGCCTTGTGCCCTGTCCTGTTTTTGTTTTGGGTCCTC